CCAGGCAGGAAGCTTCTCGTTATTTATATGTTAATACGTTTGTAAACTCATGTACAGTTTTTGTTAGGACCTCTTGCTAGGACTCAGTAACTGTAATGTCCAGAGAACACAGTGTTGGCCTCAAAGTTTAAAAAAAAAAGGCAAAAAAAAAAAAGGCACGTAGCAAAAGCTTTTCCTCCCATGTGGCTGCAGGAGCTGCGGTGGTGCCGAGGCCCGAGGCTGGCCCCGGCCTCAGCAGCTGCTCTGGAGAACTCTGCATGGAAGTTATATTTAAGAATAAAAGGGGGGGGAGCAAACCAAGTAAAGGTTGGAATGAATCCGTGTCTGCTCTCAAGCTTTCTCCCATCCCCTTCCAGCTGCTTCCAGAGCAAGGTCACACTTGGACGTTGGGAATACCTGCGCAGTCTGGGGTCTGTGGGCACGGGCAGGGTCCAGCATTCCTGCTTTGGGAGAAGGGCTGCTGGACAGTGTGCTTCAAGCAACTGGTGCTTGGGAAGTGGAATGAGCTTTCTTGTTGGGAAACCCTGGAACATAAAGTAGTGGTAGGGAAGCTCAGGTAGTTGGCTCTGTGGGGATGTGGCTGCCCTCATGGCTTCCCTATAAGCACAGTGAGCGCTGCAGTGATGTCCAGATGTGTTTGAGTGATTGAATGTTTGGCAATTTGAGTTAGTTATTTTTTGAAGAGATGCCATCAATCCAAGAATCATTTTTTGATATTTTTGTGATGCAGGGAACGTGCCTGATTTTAGTTTTGGGCATCTTATTGTGCATAATCTGATAGGTTTTTTCTTTTCCATTTTTACCTTAGAAATACCAGGAATATCAAGTGAGAGTCCTGAAGAAATTGGATAAGTTAGTGCCAGGTGTTAGTCTTGTTTCACAGCAGAACTTTGGGAGCTGTTGAGTGCTTAATGCAGAGCCTTCCTCAGAGTGCTTAGTGAAAGGTGTTCAGTGAAAGGTGTTCAGTTCCCTTGTAAAAGCTCTTAGGAGTTTTGTTTTTTCTACTTCGTGTTGCAGCATTGGTCCTGCCTGTGTGCGCTTCGTCAGAAAACTGAGCTGCTGTGGACTTCCAATATTATATTCTAATATGTGCACAGGAAGTTCTTAATTTTAGGTTTTGGGTGGGTTTTTGTGCTTTGGCTTTAAGCATCTTAGGAAATAACAAAAGTCCTGAAGCTTCCTGCTGGAAGGTCACTTCTTAGGCACTTTGTCAAGTTGCAGCTCTTGAGTCATGGTTATACTGTAACCTTTCTGTTCAGGCAGCCTCAAATGCCCTGAAGTGTGAAGATGTCAGCAGGACCTCATCCCATTTTCCTGTAACGGGTTATTTTTTATGGAAACATTCAGTGATTTGCTTCAAATGAACTGGGGTTTTGATGAATATGAAATGGGACACAAATATTTTTTTGAGATAATCCACTGAAAAGGGCAGAAGTTCTTCCTTTTTTCTTTTTTTCCCTTTTGAAGGCTGCCATTTGTCCTGCCAGTTTTCCATTGCCAGAAATCATGTTTAACAAAGTGAAGTGCAGCCTTGGAGTATGGAAACATTTTTGCAGCGCTGAGCAGGGCAAATGTCTCCTCCTGATGTATGTGATGTTGCTGCAATAAGAAATGAGGACAAGGAGAGGCTGCAGGTAACATCCTGGTGGGACAACAGGTAGATTCCTCTTGAGCAGCAAATGAAGGAATGAAGGAAGGGTGAGACTAAAACTGCAAGACTGGGGTGGTGGGAACCTGTGGTACTCCTGATCCCAGTGAGTGTGGGAAGGAAGGAAGGGGGGAAGCTGCCCACTAGCTTAGAGGTCTGTTAAACCACCAGCCAAATGAAAAGCTGCCCAGACATCCTGAAAGGGCTTGGTGATACCACAGGATCTGACCCCAGTGAGCAGTCCCTGGCTCCAGCCTGCCCTTGTGCCAGGGAAGGAAGTGGCTGCAGGGTTTTGAGTCCTGCACAGGTCCCTGCAGTAGGCATGTCCCTGCCTGCAGATCAGCTTTTCCTGCTTGGTGTGGGAAGCTGTGTGACTGATCCTGGTAGATCTTTGTAGCTTACGGAGGCCTTTCCTTTCTGCAAGGTGTGTCAAAGAGGAACCAGTTACACGTGAACGTAGCAGCTCTGCTTCATACAGCCTGCCTGTGTTCTCAGAGGATGAGGCTCTCCTTTCCCCTCTTAAAGAAACCAGGCTGAAATGGATACCCTCATATTGGAAAGCACAGGGTTAGAGCACATGGTCATTTATCTTGGAGCAGGCCTGGTAAATGAACCCTCTTTCAAGGACTTATCCTGAAGGAGAGACTCTAAATCTTTTCCTGCAGGGAACAAAACCTGCGTCTTTTACTCCTTGGTTCTCTGAAGCATGCAGTGCTCTGCACACACCCCTGCTTCACCTGGGGACCAAAACAAGGCTTAGTGGGTCAGGTTTCCTACCTAGGAACATGTGTTTGGAAGAGGAGCTCCAGAGGAATTTTAGGGGAGAAATGTGGGCATGCCTGAGGGGCTGTGAAGGGTTGAGAATGAGCAGTGCGTGAAGATGAGGGTCCTCTGCCCCTCCACGGCCTCCAACAGTACAGTTGTCTGCCTCCGAGCTGGAATCTCTGGCAAGCTGCTTAAGGCTCTGTGGGTTCATGTGCTTTTGAGAGATGGAATTTGGCTGTTCAAGGCAGTGCAGTCCTGTTGGCGTGGCTGTACCACCAGCTGTCTTCCTGTGTCCTTGTGAAGGCACGTGGCATGTTGTGCAGCTGATGGGGATGGATGGGCCTGGAAGTGCCTGCTGGTGTGTCACACTGGTTGACCTTGAGTCACCAGGAGTGGGTGAACATCTGCCTGGTGTAAGGCAGTTCCAGGAGGACCCTGTGGGCCTCCAGACCCTTTGGGAGAGCCTGGAGAAAGATCTCAGCCACAGCTGCAAAGTGTCAAATCCAGCTCATGTCAGGAGCCTGCAGCATCACTGATGCTGACTGTAACAGAGGGGTGCACACACCGTGTAAACGCATCATGAAATGTTGATACTTTCCCTCCAGGTAGTCCTTCAGATCAAAGCAGGGTGGCATCCTCAATCCCAAACATCCAAAAGCGACCATTAAAACTGGTGAAATTCATGGCTGGCTTAAGGAACACAAAATCTGAAATATAATGTATTCCAGGGCTCAATAGTCTTTTGAGATGAGCCTTTAGTACACCCATGGGATTATACTTCAGTTTTCCTCTGTGGTGGTGATTTAATTTTTGAAGGTAAAAGGGATAGCTAAAAGACTTAAGCACCTGTGGGTGGCATGGAGACAATGTAAGTCACCACACTGAGGCCAGGAACAAATGTTAAACCCATTAAACCCACCTATTAAAACAGCGCCGAGGACGAAAGGAGGTTGGTGTGATCAAACAGCAGCGTGTGGGATGCTTGCAGAGCAAAAAGAAATCCTGCATAAACCGGACTTGTGCTAAGTGTAAAAGATGGAAAGAATAAGATCTGGTAGGTGAAAGGGGTGGGGGGGGGTGGGACAAGGAACGGGACGACACAGACAAACAAAACTCCAAACCCAACATAATGCAATGGGAAATGGGATATAAAGAACATTCAAGTCATGAAACCTGCTCAGTCAGCTGCCAGCAGCCACGATGCTCTGTAAAGGGAGGGTCTGACCTGAAGTCCCAGCAGAAAAAAGTGAAGTGTTTGCATGTGTTCATGGGAAAGAGCTGGGGAATATTTCCTTATGGAGCTCGACAGAGAATCGCTTAGAAGTGGAAGTGCCTTTAGGAGAGAACTGAGTTCACATGAAATGAGCAGTAACACGTTGCTCTAAGGGAGCTCTGGGATGAACAAGCCAAGCTGCCAGCTGTGATGGGGACCCACAGCAAGTGTGAGAACAGCTTCTGAAATGAGTTTCGGGGCAGCTAGGGCAAACTCCAGCCAGGTGAACACAGCACCATCAGTGGGTAAATACTGGGATGTAGTCACTGCAGGTTTGGTACAGGGAGATTCTGCTTCAGAACTCCATGGGAATTGCTTTAATTGCACCAACAAGCAGGAGCTAAAGGTATTTGGTTGGTGCAGTGCTTGAACTTCCTCAATGCGTTTGATCATGACTGTGTTCAAGGAGTTAAGGAAAAAAAGCTGCCTTAGGAAAAGGGGGAATGCTGTCACCCAGACTAAATGAAGTTAAACGGAGGGGTTTTGTGTTGGAGGGAAGTCAATAGATGGATGCTCAATACATTCAAAAATAGTTGGGGGAAAAGTAATGAATCAGGAAGGTTGGACCATCCAGTGACACGGCTGCTCAGGGCAAGGATGTAACAAAGGCTGAGTGAGGAACTGCAGAGGGATCTTACGAGACAGGCTGGTCGGTGAAACTCCGCGTCAGCAAAGCAGTGCTGCTCATGGGAACACATCCAGAGGAGCCCTTGCCCGGCTGCTCTCACTCAGCAACGGGAGCCTCGGGTTGCAGAACACGGTCCTGCAGAGCCCTCTGCCCGCGGAGCGGCAGCAAACCAGGCTCGAGGGCAGGACGGAGCGGAGCAGAGCAGCGCCGTGGTGTGAAGCAGCCCGAGTGCGCGGTGCTCAGCATCCCCCCGGCCAGAGCTGCGAGGGAAGGCGGCTCCGGGCAGGCCGCGGGACCCCTCCTGCTCTGGGACATGTGGGAAGCGCCGCTGCATGAGCCAGGTCTCGGCGGGATGAGGAAGGGCTGCACCAGCGGCGGAAGGAGGTGGGTGCCAAGGGCACGGCGGTGCCGCTCTCTCTCGGCTGGCTTCAGCCCGAGCAGCAGCCGTCACCTCACGGGCGTTCGCGCCGCAGGCCCCTTCCCTCAGGACACGGCGGGTGCCGGACGGCCGCGTTTGGGGCGTTAATGGAGAACCCTTCCCCGCGGGGCTGCGGACGGAGCTCGGCTCATCCCAGCGCTGCCTGCGCGGGGATCCCGGCCCGGCCCCGGGGCTCCTCCTCCTCCTGCCGCCGCCGCCGCAGCGGGCGGGCTCGGGGCCGCCCGTGACCAGGAAGCAGACGGGCGGCGGTTCCGCTACGCCGGCGTGCCCGGAGCCGCCCCGCAGCATGAGCCCGCCCCGAGATGGCGGCTCCGTGCCGGACGCGGACGCTGCAGGTGGTGGACACGGAGTTCAGCGCGGACGCGGTGGAGTGGTGCCCGGTGGAGGGCTGGCACAGCATCCTGGCCTGCGGCACCTACCACCTGCGCCCGCCCGACAAGGTGAGACCGCACCGCGGCCGCCTCAGCGGCGGTGCCCGCCCCTCGCCCGCCGCCGCCTCAGCCGGGCCCGAGGGTCCCCTCGGCAGCCTCAGCGGGGCCCGCGGTGCTTTCCCGGCCTTCACCCGGCCGTGGCTCCCCGCAGCGGGGAGAGGGCGGGAGGGGGCCGCCCCATGCGGGGCTCTGGGGCCTTAACCCCGCAAGGGAGGGACTTGACAAGCGGGAGCCCCCAGCCCTGCTCCCGCAGCACCCCTGGTGCGGGAGGTCTGAGGGAGGAGGGAGCACCAGTAAAGCTGTGGTGACTTTCCTGTTTCCCATAGACTGACTGCCGGGGAAGCAATGGGGCTTGTGACCGCACTGGGCGCCTCTACCTCTATCACTACAACGAGGAGCAGCCTTTCATCCCGCTGACCGAAATCCAGAGGATCGACACGGCTGCCATCCTGGACATCAAATGGTAACGCTGGCCCAGCGGGACTGGGGCATGGCTGCTGTTCTGGGGATCTCTTTTGCCTGTTGGTGCAGCAGCAAGAGTCGTATCTGTTAATGAAGGTGCCCTTGACTTCTTGGAGGGAAGTGTTCTCTGTTTGTTCCAGTAAGCACAGACCATGCTCATTTCTGTGTTATGCTCTTGTGCTGGCTTATGAGCAGCTGCCTCTTGTTTTAATAGTATGTGTAATATGTATGGATATATCTGAGATTCATGGAATCTATAAGGTTGCAAAAGCCCTTTAAGCTCATCCAGTCCAACTGTTCCCAGCACTGCCAAGGCCACCACTAACCCATGGCACTGAGGCCTCGTCTCCACGCTGTGTGAACACTTGCAGGGACGGTGACTGCAGGCCTGCCCTGGGCAGCCTGTTCCAATGCCTGAGCACCCTCTGGGGCAGGAATTGTTCCTCAGCTCCATCTAAACCTGCCCTGGTGCAGCTTGAGGCCGTTTCCTCTTGTCCCATCCCTTGTTCCTTGGGAGCAGAGCCCAGCCCCTCCTGGCTCCATCCTCCTGTCAGGCAGTTGGAGGCAGCCATCAGGTCCCCCCTGAGCCTTCTCTCCTCCAGACTGAACCCCCCAGGTCCCTCAGCCCTTCCCCATCACACTTGTGCTCCAGGCCGTGCACCAGCCCCATTGCTGTTCCATGCATGTGGAACTTGAGGAGCCTGAGGTTTTCTTCGTAAGATTTTTGGTTTTGGTCAAGTACCTTCTTGTGCATTCTGGAATAAAAGTGGTGACCTTGTGCTCCACCTAAACTACAAGGAAGATGGATATTCAAGACTTGTTTCGCTTGATCTTTTAGGTGCCACATTCCCGTTGCAGAACATCCCATGGTTGGCATTGCAGACTCCACAGGCGCCGTGGAGTTTTGCCATCTGACGGGAAGCGAGGTAGGTGGCTGTAACGCCTGCTGCTGTCGAAGCTGGGTTTAGTCCATTGATACATCTCTCATGTTATTAGCAGCGTGTGGAGACTTGCAGGAAAGCTGCATGGTTTCCATGGCTTCCTCAGTATGCTTAGCTTTTTAAGCACTGCTTTTGCCTCCTGATAATGTTTCTCATAAATTCCACAAATTGGCACCAGCGAGGCTGACTGCGCTCTACCCACCTGCAGGGGGTGGAAGATGAGGGGCATAGAAGCATATCCTGGGAACTGTCACTTTAGAATAAGTACAGACTAAGTGGTAAACATAGCAGAAGGTGCAGAGTTACTAAAAGCAGGTACATTTCATTTCTTCTTTAGTATGGGACCCTAATATACTCATCTGTCTCTGGAAAACACCTGCAGTGGAAGTCAGCAGTACAGATTTTGCTGTATACCTGCTGTCTTCCCAGTCTTAACCCATTCCTTTTCTTTCCAGTAGAAGAACAGCTGCATGTTGGAGCCGTGTTTCAGGGTTGATCTCGGTGCACAGTGTCTGGCTTTGTCTTTAGACTGGTCCACTGGAAGAGAGCAATGGTGAGCATGGGAGATAAAGGCTGGTACTGGAGTTCATTATGCATGCGACAGCTTTCAGGCATAAGTAGAGGGCTTTGGTGAATGACTCTTTGGTGGCTTCAACTGTGGGTGCCACTTCCCTGAGCACCCTGTGCCAGTGCCTCAGCACCCTCACAGGGAAGAACTTCTGCCTAAGAGCTCATCTCAGTCTCCCCTCGGGCAGGTTCAAGCCATTCCCTTTGGCCTGGCCCTACAGGCCCTTGTCCCAAGCCCCTCTCCAGCTTTCCTGCAGCCCCTTTAGGCACTGGAGCTGCTCTAAGGTCTCCCCTTCAGGAGCCTTCTCTTCTCCAGGCTGCCCCAGCCCAGCTCTTTCAGCCTGGCTCCAGAGCAGAGCTGCTCCAGCCCTCGCAGCATCTCCATGGCCTCCTCTGGACTCACTCCAAGAGCTCCATGTCCTGCTTGTGTTGGGGGCCACAGGAAGAGAGCAGGAGCAGTCAGGATCAGCCAGTGCTTCTGATGTCTGTGATAGAAGGGAAATAAAACATTTCTTTGCACTCCAGAGGAGGAGAGAGACTTTGAGAGGTTCATGTCAGTGTGGAAAAATTAAAATCCCTCTTCATATGGAATTTGTTTATTGATGTAATATCAAGCAGGTAAGAAATCAGGTTTTGCATCTAGGAGAAGGACAGAGCAAGGGCTTGTTTTCTTTCCCTCATATGAGCAGTTTGCTCCTGCTGTGAGTCAGAGAATGGGGATCCTCGGTAGATGATTTTAAGATGGGATGGGCTGAAGCTGAAAAGAACAGTATAAATCTGTGCATTCCTTCAGCTGTAATACCAGATTCTGTCTGTTCAGTTGAATCACACATCTCTGATTGTTTCAGTAATTTCCAGTGTTTTCTCTGTTTTCCATTCTAGTGGATGTCCTTTGAGAGTGATCAGCAGTGACTCAGAGGGGAAGCTGAATCTTTTGGCCATAGATGAATCTGCTCCTTCTGTGCATATCCTGAATCAGTGGGAAGCTCACAAATTTGAGGCCTGGATTGCTGCTTTTAATTACTGGGACACAGATACTGTGTATTCAGGTCTGTAAGGGCTGAGAATCTCATTTGGGAGTGTTGGGATGGGGGGCACCTTGTTTAGAGATGTGTTTCTTGGGATTTTTGTTTCCAGGGATGAGTGTGCTGCTGGCATGACACCTCTTGAAAGAGGTGGGGCCTCTGCTGGGGGAAAAGGCTTCTGGATTGTGGGAAGTGGTTGGATTTAATTAGGAGAAGCTGTACCTTATCAACTGTACTTTGGGTAATGGCGAAAAAGATGATGATCTCTTGTGGTGTGCAAGAGCCAGAGAGTTTCTAGAGGCTATCTTTTACTTAGCAAAGTGAGGGTGTTGTTAACACGTCTCTTCTGTGGTGAGGAGCACTGTGAGCCTCAAATGTTGTTTGGTCTCCTCAGTACTGCGATTCCAGAGCTGGAAAGCATCAGCTCTGTATGAACAGCTCTGCCTCAGAGCCCTGTGCTGGTAGTTTGGGTGGTGCTCAGTGATGTTCTATCATTGTGCAGGAGGAGATGACAACCTGCTGAAGGGCTGGGACACCAGGTGCAGGCCAGAGGCTCCTGTCTTCACCAGCCGGAGGTGAGTGAGTGCTGTATGCAGTTGGACCTGCAGTGTGTGTGTGTGATCACACCATGCTCCCATCCCCTTCCCGAGGCATGGAATTCAGAGACCTGCAGGGACAGTGGAGTTCTGTTTCTGCCCCCTTGGGGAAATGGAGACATCTATTAGGGTTTGTCATCAGGGACTATTCATCAGGGGTTGTAGGGACAGGACAAGGGGTGAGGGGTTTAAACTGACAGAGAGGAGACTGAGCTGAGCTCTTAGGCAGAAGCTCTTCCCTGTGAGGGTGCTGAGGCGCTGGCACAGGGTGCCCAGAGAAGCTGTGGCTGCCCCATCCCTGGCAGTGTTCAAGGCCAGGTTGGACACAGGGGCTTGGAGCAAGCTGCTCCAGTGGAAGGGGTCACTACCCGTGGCAGGGGTTGGAGCTGGAGGAGCTTTAAGGTCCAACACAAACCTTTCTTTGATTCTATAATCAGGATAACTTAAAGTTGAAACTTTCTTCTACATGTCCTTCAACATAATAAACTAACTCTTGATGTAGCTTCTTTCTAAAAGAAGGATCCTGATTACACTTTTATTTTGGGAATTTCTGTGTATGTAAAATTTGGGTATCTTATTATGGAATGATTTTAGAAAATATGTTATTCTCCACTGTTCATTCACTTTAAGTAATCTCTTTTTTCCCTGGTGGCATAAACTATCTTTTAGAATATGATTAAAACAATACACAGAGCTCTGGTAAAATTTGATATGTAATCTTAAAATACACTATGGATTATTGCTATGGAAATAGTAATGTTGGGAGGAAAGACTCCTGGGAATGGAGCTGCTTTGCTGAAATTCTTGCAGGCTTTGAACAGCAGGTCATGGTGCACATAGTAGTAGAAAGTATTTGTGCTGAGAGACTGTGAGTAGAAGTTTTGCCCTGGAAAGGCTGGAGGACTGTGTAGGAGAACTCTGCTTTGGTGTTTCACTGGACTGAACTTTGAGCTTACATTATTCTCCTTTCCTGACACCTTGATGCAGTAATGTGGCCCAAACCCCTTTGAAACTTAAGGAAGAATCCCTTCTCAAATGATCTCTTCCCTCTGCTCTATGTTCCTCTTTGCAGACATTCCATGGGTGTGTGCAGCATTCAGTGCAGTCCCCACCGGGAGAACCTTCTGGCTACTGGCAGGTAAGTCCCTTTGGGCTGCTCTTCATTACTGTCACCAGTCTCCTGTTACTCTGAACATGCTCCTGCTGCTCAAGGTGTGGCCTCTTCAGAAATCCAGTGTGGTGGAGAGCATGGGGTCTTCCCTAAGTTTCCCCTGTGCTTGCTGCTCTGCACCAGCATCGCTGCTTGTCTGCCCATTTATGTGTGACCTGTCTCCAGCTATGACGAGCACGTGCTGCTGTGGGACACCAGGAACATGAAGCAGCCGCTGGCAGACACCCACGTTGAAGGTGGTGTGTGGAGGCTGAAGTGGCACCCAACGTGTGACTTTGTGCTGCTGGCAGCCTGCATGCAGAGTGGCTTCAAAATCCTCGACTGCCGCGGGAGCTTGGGTGAGTGGTCCATGGATTGGAGGTGCCCTTGTCTTGCTCTCCTGTCCTGCCTCTGGGTTAACAGGGAGATTCCAGCTCTGAGCTTGCCAGAACGACCTAGATGTTGTTAGTAGCCAGATTTCATTCCAAGTTGAGGTAACTCTTCCAGCTTTCCCAGACCTGTGCTCATATTGATCTGATGGGCTGTGCACAGGCACTGTTGTTACTCATCTGCTAGTATCTCATCACTTCACTGTGAGGGCAGAAAGCCTGTTTGGTTTGGTGTGAAGGCTTTGCCTGTCAATGTGACCCTTCTGGTTTTTATTCATCTAGATGGTTTCAAAGAGGTTCTTCTGAATGTCAGGTGGTACTTTACTGTCAGCAGAAGTTACTGACCTGCTGATGGATTGGTTGCTGCTTCAACAAGGAAGTGCTGTGCAGTCTGGTTAATCTAGAATAGCTCGAATAAGCCCTCTGTGTGAATCAGAGGGTATTTGCATGATTAAAAAGCTGTTTGCATTTACATTACAAATACAACCTGACATAAAATGGTCACCTCCCTGGGCTTCTGTTGGCCTTGGGCAGATCTGCAGCTTGTGAAATGAGGATAACATTTCTCCTGTGTAGGGGATGGAGGACCTGATGTCCACTTGATGTCATAGGCAGATGCTGAAAGCTTACACATCTGCAGTTTCTTGCCCACCAGAACCTGGCCTGGTAATATCCCCAGGTGTGTTTGGGCTCAGTGCAGGTCACCCTGTGAGCTGCCTTGGCTTTCTTGAGCCTTATTAGGTGTTCTGAATTATGAGGCTCTCCATCCTCATGCATGTGAAAGCCTCTTCTCCCACCTGCTTACTGAAACAGGGAAAATCAAGACTAATGAGAAATGGCTGAGAAATCATCAGGAGAGGCAGGACCTCATTGCTCCTACAGCAATAACCAGAGAATTCTTCCTGTAGGACACAGCCAATGCTAGAATGGCTTCTGGGCAGGCTGCCACCATTTCCCAACTTGATTTCTGCTGATTTCATGTTATTATTTCTTTCAAGCGGAAAACACAGAGGAATGCACCATCCTGTCATCCTATGTCTTGCACAATTCCTTGGCCTATGGGGCTGACTGGTCAAGGCTGTGTCCAAGGGGTTCCTTGACTGCCACACAGGACTCCACTGTTGCATGCCAATCTTCAGAAGAGCTTGTGGGAGGATCAGAGGAAGGAGACGAGAGACTGAATTTTCAGGTCCAAAATCTGAAGATCATTTATGAGTCTCCTACAGCTACTTTTGATGTGATACTGGATGAGGAGAGCGAAGGCCCTGCCCCACCACTCAAAGCAGAGTGGGGTCCTGAGCTGCCCGGGGCTCCTGAGCTGGCTGGGGGCTCTGATTTAAAGGGGAGCTTGGATTTGGCTGTGGGTCCAGCCCGAGGGGTAGGTTCTAGCTTAGGAGCCAAGAGACCCTCAGGCATGGGCCTGGCCGGTGATTCAGCCACATCGCTCGACAGCCCCAAGGAAATGAGCATTGTAGCAACTTGTTCCTTCTATGACAACATCCTCCATGTGTGGAAGTGGGAGATGAGCCTCACTACAAGTGCTGGGTCTCCACCTGAAAGAATAGCCCAAAGTTTGCACTGACCAGAACTGGGGAGAGGGGGAGGAAAACTCCTGTGCCAAGAGTGACATCTGCACTTGGTCCTATCTGATTTCTGTTGGGCTTCTCCAGTTTTGTTGTTGAGCTTGAGTCTTGTAAGGCCGATGCTGATGGAATTCCACTTTGCTTTGAGGCCTGTGGCCAAGAACAGACACGTTTATTTAGTTTTCCCTCACTGTACTCACTCCGAGCAGGACACCTTCCTCTCGGCGGCTGCTTGTTTGTACCTTGTATTTGAATCCCTCCGGGGCTGGTTTGCATTTGCCTGGTTGATGTCTTAATCCTGATCTTCTCCTTCCATCACAAACCAAACCCGTCTGTGCTGCTGCCTGTAGATGAACACAGCGTGGGCTCAGAGGATCCCTGAGTGTCTTGGAAAAGCCCACGAGCAGAGGTGTGGCTGTGCAACCTGCCAAGTGGGATGGGCTTGGAGAAGATGCTCACAGCCAGGGGCTTATGGTGATCTTCCCAAGGGAGAAAGTCATTTCTAGAAGGAAATCCTGACTAACGGGTGTGACCAGCAGCAGTTTGGTGGCTTTGCTCTGAGTGGAGCCTTTCCTGTAAGGATTCTGGTGTCTCCACAGCCTGACTTTATACTGGCCTCACCACCTGGTTGTCATCTTGCTGAGCACCTCCAAGCTGAGCACAGCCTGGCTTGGCACAACCAGTGCAGTGAGCAGCACTGTGTGCCGGTGTCACGCTTCCCACTCTCCACAGCAAGGCGTATCTTTAGCTCCAAAGTCAAGAGCTTTCAGTTCTTTAAAGGTGAACAGCTTTAAGATCCAAACCTCCACAAAGTATAAGCAGTGTTTCCTGACATCTTTTAAGGTCAAATTAAGTACAGAAACCAAAATCTTACCAGTGTTGCCCTAACTACCTCCAGGGATGGCTGCAGGTTTCTCATGGTTGCTCCATTAGCTTTCTTTTTTCACTGTGAAATAGCAAAACACCAATTCTGGAACACTTTCTCTTATTATCTTCCTAGAAAAAACCAGCTTAAACTAGGTAAGTAACATCTAGCTTGCATGGTTTCTTTTTGAGGGTCCTAAAGAATTTAGTTGTCTGGAGGCAAAGAAACACCAGCACCAGGGATCTGTCTGTAACAGTGCTGCTTCTGAACCGAGGTACAGCTGGGAAGGATCATGCTGCTTCAAACCCCCTTGTTCAAGGGTGAATGTGTATTTTGGAGAACATTCTTGAGCACTGTTACATGGGGATTCGTATTAGTATTGTGAACAAGAGCTTTTGTTAAAAAAAACACCCTATTTTTGGATGTTTCTAAAATAAAATGAATAGAAGTGATTTCTCTATCTTGGTTGTTTTGGGTTTAAGAGGCTCTTCAGTGAGGTTCTCCAGTGAGGCCCTTCCTCCTGTCCTGCAGTGCTGAGGCTCAGGGCATGTCATGGCAGTGTGTTCTCTAGGGGTTGGAGCAAATGATCCTCACATAGAATCAGCCAGGCCGGAAAAGTCCTTTAAGCTCATCAAGTCCAACGATTCCACCAGCACTGCCAAGGCCACCACTAAGCCATGGCACTGAGGGCCTCATGTACATGGTTTGTGAATACTTCCAGGGACGGTGACTCCAGCACTGCCCTGGCAGCCTGTTCCAATGCCTGGGCACCCTCTTTGTGAGGAAAACTACCTTTCAGGTAGTTGTAGGGAGTGAGTAGGGCCCCCCTGAGCCTTCCCTTCTCCAGACTAAACCCCCCCAAGGTCCCTCAGCCATTCCCCATCACACTTGTGCTCCAGGCCCTGCACCAGCTCCGTTGCCCTTCTCAGGCCCCCCTCCAGCACCTCAATGTCTCTCTTGAGTGAGGGGCCCAGAACTGAACACAAGATTTGAGGTGCAGCCTCACCAGTGCCCAGTACGGGGGAATGATCACTGCCCTGGCCCTGCTGGTTACACTATTTCAGCTTTATTAGCTATAGCTTTTTCAGCTATACTCTACAGCCAGATCTTTTGAATCAACTAGAAAGCATTTACCATGGTGTTGGCCATTTAAGACTATTCCTGTCCCTTGAATGTCACAGCAAATCATTTATATTTAATGTCACCATTCAGTTAATAAACACACACCATAGCTTGACCAAAGGATCTGAAATAAAATGACCTGCTATTACCCAGGCATAAGTGACAGCTGCAGGTGCTTATGACAAAAACCTGTGTTGAGACCAGTGTCGGTACAACCGCACCGACATCACACCAAACTGTGCTGCTTCACAAAAATAGGGTTTTTTTTGGACAGGGGTCATAAAATTGCATCCAGAATTAGAAATGTCTAACCTATATTCAACCTTTCATGTTAGACAGTATTTCTCTAAAGACACTGCAAATCATCTACTTCAGTTGGGTAGCTGCTGCTCAGAGCAGTAAATGAGTGAAAATGAATGGCACAGTTTGGCAAAGAAGAAACCCCAGTGTTTTGGTTTGTATTTGTTAATGAAAATTAAGTTTAGTTTTCACCACTGCAGAGGCCTTTCAGGGTTCTCTAGTAAGAAACCAGCACTTGGAATGGACACTAAATTTGGACTGCCACTGCCACCAAAAAGTCCACCACTAGAACTGAACAAAGTCACTAATCTTTTACCCTGCATTAGTGTTTTCCTCAGCTCTTCATGTTGGCATATTGGGATTGGCATGACAACTTGCTATCAGATGCTGATGTTGAAAAGATGTGCAACTTTATTATCCCAAAGGAAATTCAATTTAGAGAAGCAGCACAATTTAGAAGCTTAATCTCAGTGAGAGCACCCAGGGCATGTCTCGGTAGTGACACAGCTTTGGACTACAACTCCCATCTTAAAACTCTGTAATGCTTTTTTATTGCCACCTGAGATTAAGAGGAGACCAAGGTGGGCAAACCTGGAGAGGGGTCACCAATGCACCCAGACTGGGGCACTTGAGTTATGTGTTATGCCAGACTTGCTTTGCCTGAGGGGTGAGGAGTCTCCTGTTTAATCAGTCCTTATGCGGGGAAGGTGAATTGTTGAACCCAAGTTGGTGTGGGCATTCGGGGGTACAGGACTTGCTGCTCTAGAGCCCTGCCTTCAGCTCTGGGCCTATGGCAGAGCTCATCCTGGAAAGTGCCACTGGAGCCCAAGAAACATCTGCAGAGGGAAGGGGCAAAACACCACCTCTGCCCACAGCACCTTGTCCCCAGCTGGAGGCAGAAAACTGCTTTGTGCAACCATTCCTCTGATGGGCTTACAGATAAATGAACCCCCCTGCAGTCCTGATCCAGCTCTGGGGCAGCAGCACAAGAGGGATGTGGAGCTGTTGGAGTGAGTCCAGAGGAGGCCATGGAGATGCTGTGAGGGCTGGAGCAGCTCTGCTCTGGAGCCAGGCTGAGAGAGCTGGGCTGGGGCAGCCTGGAGAAGAGAAGGCTCCTGAAGGGGAGACCTTAGAGCAGCTCCAGTGCCTAAAGGGCTGCAGGAAAGCTGGAGAGGGGCTTGGGACAAGGGCCTGTAGGGACAGGCCAAGGGGAATGGCTTGAACCTGCCCGAGGGGAGACTGAGCTGAGCTCTTAGGCAGAAGCTCTTCCCTGTGAGGGTGCTGAGGCGCTGGCACAGGGTGCCCAGAGAAGCTGTGGCTGCCCCATCCCTGCAGGGTTCAAGGCCAGGTTGGACACAGGGGCTTGGAGCAAGCTGCTCCAGTGGAAGGTGCCCCTGCTCGTTGCAGGGGTTGGAGCTGGAGGAGCTTTAAGGTCCCTTCCAGCACAAACCAGGCTGGGATTCTAAGAAAACATGTTCTTTCCAATGACATTAAACATTTAGAACTCAGCAGTTTCTACATTAAACCACTGCACGCTGTTGTGTGTCACTTGTATCCACTTAATTTGATGATCAGAAAGACTCTGCCCTGCCAGGAATTCATATCCAAAAATAACAATTCCTGGGCTATGCTTCACATACAATCAATTACTCTGTAACCTCAAGCAGCTGTGCTGAGGACCAGGCATTCAAGGTACCCATGAATTGCATCTTGAGTTACTCCGAAGGAAATCTTTACACGTGGAAAAGCTCATCACGCGCTGCAGGTCTCTCTTCAGAGGGAGTCGAGGGCATGGACAGGTTCCCACTGCCTGGGGCTGCTGTCCAGTGCGAGTGGTAGCAGCCCCCTGCTCCCCCTAGGCGGGGACCCCCGCGCTGCCCTAGGGTGACACGCTGTGCCCTCCCCTGTTCCCCAAGGCAGGAATTCCTGCCGCGAAGGAAGTGCTGATGTTTCAGCAACCCAGAGAGAAGCCGCCCCCCGCTCCCCCCAGCAGCTCCGGACATGCCATGATGGGAGATAAGCACCAACTGCCTCCCCCCCGCCTCCCGCGATGTGTATCAGACACTGCAAACAGACCGAGGAGGAAGGGTTTGCTTTTAATGGCCGGTGTCCGGAGCAGTCCCGTTCTGGTGCCGGTGCGGGTCGTGCCTCGCCGGGGGGCGCCGCTCCCGCCTACCGCATATAGTTCTTGGGGAAGAGCTGGAAGAGCTTGCCCTCCTGCGTGGGCTCGAAGCCGTACTTCTCCAGGTTGTTGGGGTCGAAGGTGCCGTCCTTCACGTCCTTCTCGATGCGCGGAGCCACCAGTTCGGTGAAGAGCTGCTGGGCCGTGGCGGCCGGCTCGGAGCCCTCGGGGGCGCGGTACGACACGTACGGCTTGAGCTTGAAGCCGGTGAGGTCGGGGACGATGAACTCCGGCACCATCTGCGGGATGCGGATGAACTTCTTGCCGGGGGTGAGCACGCCGGCCCGCCGGGCGCCGCGGCCTTTGTAGTGCGTGCGGGGCCCGCGCTTGCTGGTGAACGGCGACACGCGGTCCGCGCCCCGCACCAGCCCGCGGACCAGCTCCTGCAGCAGCCCCATGGCGGGCCCGACACCTGCCAACACCGCTCCTTCCTATTGGCCGAAACACCACCGCCAACCTGCTCCTCCTATCGTGCCCCCCAAAAGGCGGAACGGGGACTCCTCCGCCAATCAGCAGCGAGGAGCCCCGGGTGTGGGCGGGGCTTGCAGCTCCCCTCAGCGGGCGGCGGCGGCGGGGGGTGGTTTGTTCTGTTTGCCAACTTCGCCCCTGGCCCACGGGGATGACCTTTGACCTGGCGGCGCCGGGACCGGCGGCAGGTGAGGGGGGTCCCGCCGAGGGGGAGCCGGGCCCCGCAGGGCCGTGCCGTGCTGTGCTGTTCCGGGGCGGGACAGTGCCCTGGGGACCTGCTTTTAGCGTCTGTGCTGCGTGGTTTGGTGTAATGGGGCTTAGGGGGCAGCTCGGTCTGATGGGGAGGCCCGGGCTGGCAGGGCCGCGCTGGTCTGTGAGGGGTCTGCCCCGTTAAACAGCGTCCCCCGGCAGCAGCTGCTCCGGTGCCTTTCCAGAACCAGGAAATGGTTTGTGTTGGAAGAGACCTTAAACCTCCTCCAGCTCCAACCCCTGCCACGGGCAGGGACCCCTTCCACTGGAGCAGCTTGCTCCAAGCCCCTGTGTCCAACCTGGCCTTGAACACTGCCAGGGATGGGGCAATGTTCGGTTCCTCACAGACACCGACCCCCTGTGGTGCCTCCGCGGGTGCTGCCGAGTGTAGGCACCGGGGTTCTGCTCCCGTGGGTGCTGCCAGCACTTGGGGAGTGTCGGAGGGAGGCTCCTCTGAGGAGAGCTGAGGCACAGCAGAGCCAAGCCCCTTCGTACACTGCCCAGAGGACTGGTGTTGTTGGTGCCGGTAGCAGAGCCTCTCCTTGAAAGGGTGCTGGGTTCTGTTGCTCAACTCAGAAGAAAAGAAGTAGAAAACCACCCAGCTTCCCCTAACTTGGCTGGTTCTGCCGGACAGGAAGAGCTGTTCTGGTGACGCTGTGTGTTGTGGAGTTCAGAAGAGTTTGTGTTAGAGTGAGGCCATCTCTTAACTGGCTCTTGTCTTGTTTTCATTTGTGCTCCTGCCCTATCTCCAGACATGGATGAAGACGGCAACAGCACCAGCCTTGAGGTACGATATGCTTTGTTGTTGATTTTGAACGTCTTTGTTTCCCCATTGCTGTTTGCAGAAGCTGAAAGCTGCTGTGCTGAATTTGATAACATTTGTGTAATGTCTTTAGCTGCCTTTACTTTGTAAGCACCTTTCCTGCAAGATTTTTATCTTTCTGAAAACTTAAGTATTAATCCAATCTGTGTGTGTATGTTTTTAGTATTTTACTTTTAACATGTTTTTTTACAGCAAACCACTCAAAATCTGCTTCATGTTCCAAGCTGTTAGTGTGATGATCTGATTGAAGTGTCTTTTGCTTCAACAGCACGGTTTTTAGCTTAAAGACAGCAAAATGTGGTGTTCTT